CTCCCCTCTATCTTGGCCGCTGTGAATCGGCATATTTACCGGGCTGAATTGAGAAAGTGTTTTGAGAGAATTAAAAGGTGGCTGTCTTGCAAGCTTGGCTTCAGTGCCTGCTTAATTCGAACCGATCCAGCTTGTGATGAGGCCTTCCTAAGCCTGGTAGTCAGAAGCGACATGGCGCTATAAATTTCGTCTCAGTTGGAGAGTAGAAGAGCATGATTCGAACACGGTTTTCAACTGCCAAAGATATCTCCATTGTTTCCTTCAATCTGTACACCTGCACGCTTTCCACTGTAAGTATATACTCTTCCTTGCCGCCCTTCCTCCCTCACCTCTCACCTCCCCAAGTTTTCCTCCTTCATCCAACCATCCCACCCCTACTTCTTCAACAGGGCCGTCTTTTCTACATTCATGGTCTCCAAAAACGCCAATGCTTCCGCCTTCTCCATGGTCCGCTGACGCCAGGACCATCCCAACAAGTCGCCCATCAGCTTCACCACCCGGGGCACGGCTGCCCGGGCCGCCTCTGTGTCGAGAAAGGCCAGACGGGTCCGACGCGCCAAGATATCCATGGGCTTGAGGGCGTATTCCTGGTCCACGGCAAATATTACCTCCGCCTCCAAAAAGGGGTAGCGCGAGTGCAGGCGTTTCGCCTTGCCTGGTTTCGTGTCTAGGTAGCCAGCGCGGACCCATTCGGCCACCTGCAAAGCCCGCGTCCCGTAGCTCTTGACCAAATGGGCCGACACGTCCTCGGGGAGTTCGTAGTCGTTCCGGAGGGTGATCCCGATCTGGTTGAATTTCTGCGCACAGACGATGCCGGCGCGGTCGGCTCCGAGCAGCTTCCGGTTCCACGTACTCGCCTGGGGGCTCACGTCTCCGTTGGCCAGCAGCCCTGCGTGCTCCTGCAAAATCCGGTCGACGGTGTCTTCCGCCATGCGTCGATAGGTGGTCCATTTGCCGCCCGTGATGGTGATCAACTTCCCTGTCTCGGAGACCTCGATCACGTGGTTCCGGGAGAGGGCGGCTGTGCCTTCCTTGATCTTCTCCGGGTCTTTCACCAGCGGACGCAAGCCCGACCAGGCGGCGATCAGGTCCTTGGCTGCCACGTTCGTGGTCAGGTACCGATTCGTCTCCTGCATGATAAAGTTCACCTCCTGGGCCGTGGGCTGGGGGTGCATGGTGATGTCCGAGTGCGAGTCCGTGGTTCCCGCCAACGTGCACCCCTCCCAGGGCAGGAAGAAAAGGACCCGCCCGTCGGTGGTTTTCGGGACAATCAGGCCCATTTTTGCCGGGGAAAAATGGGCAGGGAACATGACGTGCACCCCGGCGGCTGGTTCGATCAATTCCACCGCCTTGGGGTCGTCGAATTTCCGGATTTTGTCGGCGAAGACGCCCGTGGCGTTGACCACCACTTTGGCGGCGATGTCCCATTCCACCCCTGTGAGTCGGTCCTGAACCCGCGCCCCATTCACCTGCCCGGTCCCCGGGTCTTTGAGGAGGGACACCACTTCCACTCGATTCGCAATCGCGGCGCCTTCTTGCGCCGCTGTCAAGGCGATGGTAAGGCCCATCCGCGTATCATTCATCTGCCCATCGTAGTAAATGATAGCGCCTTTCAACCCCTTCCCGCGCAGCATGGGAAATTGGAACAAAGCCTCGTCCACGTCCATGTAGTGAGAGGAAGGCACGGATTTCTGTCTGCTCGCCACCAGGTCGTAGGCCTTGGCGCCTGCCCAGAAATACGGCACCTCCCACCACTTGTAAATCGGAATCATGATCGGTAACGGCGAGTTCATGTACGGAGCTGCGTTCAGCATGTGGGCGCGCTCCTCCAGAGCTTCTTGAACCAGAGCAAAAGAGCCATAGTCCAGTTTCCAAAAGGCTGTCTCCAGGTACCGTATGCCCCCGTGAATCAATTTGGTGGACCGCCCCGACGTACCGGCGGAGAAATCGTTGGCCTCGACCATGGCGGTCTTCAGGCCCCGTATTTGGGCGTCCAACGCGACACCAGACCCTACGCAGCCACCTCCGATGACCAGGACATCAAATTTTTCTTTTTTCAGGCGGTTCAATTGCGCATCCCGCGTGGGTAGCGAGTACGGATAGACCAGGGTTCCGTCCCGGCATTTGATAGGTGTTGTCCGCATGTCCTCCAGCTGCTCAACAGGGGACAGCTCTCGCTTGCCGCCACTTGCTTCGCAATTTGCGGAGCGTGATGTAGGTGGTAAATGCCTATGAGAGTCCTTCGCGCGGCTTTTCCTGCCTGGTCCCGAACGCAGGCGGTCGGCCACGACCAATGAGCCCGCCATTCCAAGCAAAGCGAGATGCGGTTGCAGACTCATTGCTTGAAGTCTAGGGGTGGCACGGCGATATTAACCTGTGAAGATATGAAGGTAAGAATGTGTAGACGTAAATTTGGTAGGAAATTGAGTTGTCTTTTTTCTGCACGATGTTGCGAGTTACGAGCGAGGACAGCCTAGGCTCAGTCAGGTAGGCGAGAGGCTGCCTATTTTGACAACCACACATAATGGCGTTCCGCACGCGTCATGAGTGATGCAACGAGCATCCTTAACGATTCCTCACACCAACGCGACGCCAGATCCCGCCCTTTCTTAAGCTGACCTGGCCTTCCCCCTCCTCATTCCCAAGGAGGGTCGCCCCTGTTCCTGTTCGCCGTTTTCGAGCCCTCCCCCTGGCGAGACTTTACCGGCCCATATTCCATTCAAGATGCACTCCACCACGGGCAAACGGCGCTGGTGACGAGCACGGGGCCGTGCTGCATGGTCGCAATGTGTCTATGAATATAAAGCGGATAGAAGCATAATTTGGCTTAATGCTCGTCGGGAGGGTTTGCCGTTGCGAGGCAGAGAAGGTATCGAGCTGGCCAGATTTTACTGGCCCGTTCAGGGTACTAGTTGCTCTTCCGCGTACAGGCAAAAAGTTCCAACTATCCTATCGACTGGCTGCATAGATTAGGAAGACGTAGAGATTAGAATAAATTTTATTTTGGTTCTAGGCCTCGTTGTCTTTCTGGTATTCGCTTTCTCATTCTCTCGTATTTTCCTCGTTTTCCGATCTAAGTATCTAATCACTGCCTTTTTTTCTTTGTTATCCATCAGGCAAAACAAAGCCAGATGTCATCACAAATGGATCATGACAAGAATGAGAACAATCGAGAGTTGCATACTTACGTATTGGCATGTCAAGCATTAAATATCAGACCTTTGAATGCTATGGTTCGGGCGCTTGAACTGCAGTCAGCTCCTTCCGTGGAAGGATCACAAAAAAGGATAGGAATAGTGACGTTGCCGCCTGGAACTACCGAAGTAGAAGTATGTGCCGTTGCTTTGACATTAAGCCGCAGCACTCGTATTCAGGGCTTGCATTTACCCGCGTCCCGTCCGGGAACTGAGGGGATGCGACAGCTCGGACAGATCTTAGCGGAGAACGAGGTTCTGCACACCTTGTCCTTTACAGACGCTGACTTTTCGAGCACCTGCGCGATACCATCAGTCGCTTTATCAGAGTCGACAGAGCAGAAAGACGCCTTGTGCGTGTTCACCAAGGAAATAAAACAAAATTTGAAGTCGTCCGCGCTACGACATCTGGTCCTACGTCACTGCAACCTCACTATCGATCACGTTACCGCCTTGGTCGACTGCCTATCCCATCTTCCACACTTTGCCGGGGGTTCTTTGGACCTAAGTGACAATGCCTTGGGACCGGAAGTTGCCCTCGTGTTGAGCAAGCTTCTTCGCGCGAAAAATGGCCCAGGTCTCTTAAATTTAGGCCGGAATAATTTGGGGGACGCTGGTGCAGCAGGTCTTGGGGGAATGTTCGCCGCAGATCTATCAGCAGAGTCCACTTCCTCGTCTTCTCCTTTTGCGAGCGCCGCATGCCCAGGAGTAGGCAGCGTAATCCGAGCACAAACAGAGGCATCGACGGAGCACGCTTTCCCAGCCAAGGACTACCTTGTGGAACACGGCGGGAGCCTCAAGCGGAATGACATGCTGCTCTGGACCTTCCATCTCACCAGCCTTGATCTCAGCTACAACGGCTTGGGCGACGATGGGCTCGCTGAGCTAGTACGAGGCGTGCGGGTTTACGCAGATTTGAATGCGGGGTGTCCGTTAAAGCAGCTGGTATTGGACGGAAATCTGATCACGGACGAAGGAGTAATGGGGCACATCCACGGCCTTTTCCCCCCTGCATCGCCCGGGTCGAAACTGAAACAACTTGGTCTGGCCCACAACAAACTTAGGGACGACGGTTTTCACGCTATCTCCGAGGTGGTTGGTGCTGAAGGGGGGCACGTCGCCTTGGAAAGCCTTGATCTGCGGGGAAATCATGTGACAGCTGAGGGGCTCCAATCTCTGAGCCTCATGCTGGGAGAGCCCACAGCCTTGATGGAGCTGGCCATCACTTTGCCACCTTTGCACCCTACGTCCTTGGGCGTGGCTCACAAGGGGAGCGCGCAGGAGCAATACCTCCTTCAAGCGGCCGTCTTCGAACTTGTCAACACGGCGACAACCTCCCAGACTTTGACGAGCCTGAAACTGGAAGGGTCCCGTCGGTATTTGACCGAGGAAATGGCCCACTCGATCATGCGCCTGGAGGCTCAGTTGCTGGCCAATCAGAGCAAGTCCAAGTCCGGTAGAGCTGGGCGCGGGAAAGAGGCCGACCAAGGGAAGGCACCGGGGAAAAATGCCTATGACGACTGCGCCAAGGCCCAACCAAGTAAGACCCAAGACGCTCGCCACGTTTCGTTCAGCGTCGCTGAGAAACCCCGCTATCAAGACCAATTAGACGCTGAACATTCCGAGCTCCATTTCATCGAACAAAGTCAAATCTGTGCAATCAAGAGCCAGTGTCCACCCACTATGCACCGTCCGTCACTTTCTGCCGAAAACACCAGCCTGGCCTCCGCGCCACAGTCGGCAAACTTTACCTCCGGTACCGGGAAAAAGGGTGCAGGCTTCCACGACAACCATGTCGATTATGTTGGGAAACTGCCTATTGTGAAGGAAAAACTAACAGTGGGAGGAGAAGAGGAGGACGACCTGCCCATTACGGCTCGAGCGACCGGCAAATCTTTCCCGTCAAAAGCGAGGCCAGGGTTAAGCACGTCCAGGTGCGATCAAAGTATCATAAACAAAAGCGATATCCACAGTACATCGATCCCTCATAGGAAGAAAATCGACGTCGCCTCCCAAATTGTGTCGCGACCTGCGTCTCGTCCTGCTTCCAAGCAGGGCAACGGGCGAGACCAGATGAGTGTCACGCCGGCATCGAGCCATCAGAGACGGACAGGTTCCAGCAGTCCGCCTCCTGGTGTATTACGCCCCACTGTGTCAGCGGCGCTCAAGCGCAAAGGCCACGCGGGGAGCCACTGCACTGCTACAGCTGTGTGTAAAATCCAACACGAAACCAAATCTGCCAACACAATCGCCGCTTCTATCGCCGAAAGCCAGGTCACAAGATCTCAAATTCAGGCTCGGAAGACACATACAGTTCCATTTTCATCGAAAGAACTACATGGCAATGAATCAAGGCACTGTAAGGCCGTGACAGCGGAAAGAGCAACGGCCACCGCCGTCATTCCGACAAGGAGGCCTAGGCCTTGTGCCAGTGCCATCTCCGTGAATAAGCCGACAACAGCACAGACAAACGATCACAAACAAGTGCAAAACGAGACAAATGCAAGGGAATCACAAAAGTTATTCACGTTGTCGGTGCATGCAGCATCCTTGGAGGCCGAGCTGCGGGATACCCGTGAACGATTGGAGGAGGAAGAGAGAATGCATAACGAAATAATTCGGCTTATCGTCGAAATATTATCATGATGAATAAGAAAGTCGACCATAACATCGCACATGCATTACGCAATTGAAAAGCAATTCTGTCAACCTGGGTGCTGAAGAACGAGCTGCTCATCATTTCTTTCCAGTCCACAAAACTACCCGGATGTTCCACTTTCTCGAGGTGGCCAAGTCCGGCATCAAGAAGACAGATCTCTCATATTCATGCATGAAACCCTCCATAACAATTATGACACAGCAGCCCTGCATCAAGTCTCTTCAGACATGGACGGCAGTGATGACACTGAAATGGTTATCCATCAAGAAGTGGCCCCACTGCTTCTCCCCCTAGCTTGTGAAGCTCCCCCCCTCCTGCCCCCCCCGTCATCTCCAGCCTCAAACGGACAAGAAGCGCACCAACCAACCATTAGCGTGACGCAGCTCCTTTGTATGGATGGCCAACAGTCTGCGGACCGGGCCCCGACCTCAAATGCATCCGTACGTACGGCTCCTCCACCCCTTCCTGATCCTCGTCTTCCTCCTCCAACCTCGGCTCAAGGAGGTTCTTGGTCACATTTTGAGTCGGCTGGTGCCTTCCCACGCGTCGCTCACCGGCATCTTTACCTCTGGTTGGACCAGAAAATATCTGAGTTGCCAGAAAATGAAGCTAAGCGGGTAAAGGCGGTGGGAAGACTGGACTCCTTCTACGAAGAGGTGAACAGGGCCAACGCCGCAAACACGCTTTATGACGCCGCGAAGCTCAAAGAATTTGTGGCCAAGCCCTCTCCTTACTCTCTTTTGCTCTTTCAGGAGGAAAAAAATGGGCGTCAGGGCGCGACAGGCGGGGCAAGTGTCGCGAAGGATGCTATAGGGGACGGTGAGAAGGAGAGGGAGGAAGGTCTGATCGCCACAGGCCTCGGAGACCAGCTTCCACGGAAACGCAGGCGGCAGGGGCCTTCCGGCTTGAGCAGCACGAGCAGCAGTGGCAGGAATAAGGGTACCCTGAACCTCTCGACAAACGTGCTCAAACGCTGG